CCAGTGGCAGGGACGGAGCCAGGTTTGTCGCCTGGCGTTCTAGTCAGGTTCAGGTAAGAGACCCTCCCTGGTGGGCTGAGGCGAGGCCCCTTCGAGAAAGGCCGGGACGTGGCCCAGCGGGCCCGCGGGCGGAATCACGGAGTGGCCGCTCCCACAGCCTCACTCATTCATCAAATATTTACCCAGCCCGGCGGCCCGCCAGCCAGACCTTCCGGACCCAGACCTGCGGGGTGCGGCTGGCCCTGGCGCTGCGCGCGTCTCAGGTGGACTGTGGCCGGGTGGAGCCGCCCTTTACTCCCGGAGCGGCTGCAGGAAAAGGCGGGAGCCCTTTCCTCAAAGGGCGAGGATAGGGCGCCTGGCCCGGAAGGTGTGTCGCGGAACACTGCGGCCGTGTCCCAAGTCTGAGGATCACCCGGAGCCCACAGGGTCGGATTCGCCCTGGCGCCAGCAGAGGGCGCTGTCAGGTTCTAATCACACAACCTGGGGGCGGGGCTACACACGTAAATGGCGCGGCTGGGGGCGGGGCCAGGCTCCTAGAGCTCGCGGAACCAAGCTCTCACTGGGCGGAGCTTGGCTTTTCAGGGAGGCGGGGCCACACGTAACTATTTTGGCTAGAGGGCGCGGCCAGGTTTCCAGGAGCTGGCGAGGACAGGAATTGTCCCCCCAGAGGGTGGAACTTGGTTTCCAGGCAACGGCTAAGGGCGCAGCAGGAGCAGCCCCGGAGGGACGGGACCACACATGTAAACTCCTTGGAGCCTGATGGGGGGGGGGAATCAACGTTCCCAGAAGGCGTCTATGGTCCCACGAAGGGCGGGACAAAATCCTTGACGTCTCCGGAGCCGATTCCCAGGGGCGTGGTCTTCCCGGGGACGTGGCGTCCAGGGGCGGGACCGTGAGCACCACCTTTGACGCCTTAGGAGGCCCCCGGGCGGTGACCGGGCCGGCTTCCCCACAGGTCGGGACACGATGGCGGCGACCGGGGAGCCGGAGCGGTCCCCGGAGGACCCCGCGGCCACGTCGGCCTGCCGTTTCTTCCTGGAGGGCCGCTGCCGCTTCGGCGCACGCTGCCGCCAGCCGCACCCGGGAGCGCCGGCGCCCGCGCGGCCCAGCGGCGCCGTCGCCGCCGAGGCCGAGGCCAAGAAACCGCCGCTGCGTACTGCCGCCGCCGTCATCCAGCGCATCCGCTGGGACCCGCGCCTCGACCCGGCCGACTTCTCGGTGGGCTACGCCGACCGCTTCCTGGGCGTGCGCGAGGAGCCCTTCTCGGCCTTCTGCTGGGACGCGCCGCTGGCGGCGCTCGGGCCCGGAGTCCTGGCCATCCCGCAGCACCGCGTGCGCTACTTCCGCTTCCGCGGCCGCCTGGTCTGGGACCGCGCCTCGCGCACCGACCGCGTCTTCGGCTCGGGCCAGGCCGCAGGCCGCGGGCCCACCATCCTGGAGGCGCTGGGCGGGGCCGAGGTTGATGGCGACGCGCTGGGCGGGGAGGAGCCGGAGTCCCTGGATGCAGAGAGGCCACAGGCGGGCTTGGCAGAGCCCGGGGCCCGGGGCGTCAGAGGCCCCGCGGACAGCAGCTTGGCGCTGGCAGAGTTAAGCCTGGAGGAGGCACCTGCCAGGACCCCAGCGCGAGGGGAAGCCGAGAAGACGGAGCCGGGCGGAGGCGGCCACCAGGACTCCCAGTGCAGAGCGGCCGAGGCCCCGGCGCCAACCGCCGCGGAGCCGGAGTCGGGGAGAAACACGCCGGCCGCGGCATGGCCGCCGACGGCAGCAGGCGGGACCGGGGCGCTGAAGGACGGCGAGGCGCGGGCCCTGGCAGCCCCAGAGCCGTCTCAGGGAGCAAACCGCCTCCCAGGGAAGCAGGCGAGACCCGTCAGGGAAACGGAGGCAGAGTGGGGGCCGGGCGCATGGTGCACAGACGAGTCGGGCGTCCCGGCCCGGACCAAGGGCCCTCGCCAGCCCCGCCCCACGCATTTCGTGGCCCTCAGGGCGACAGAACCCGGGCTGCTGGCAGCGGTCGCACAGGCCCAGGCACACCTGGTGGAAGCTGCCCCGTCCTGGGCGGCGTTCGCGGTGCCTCGGCCGGCCCTGCACCTGACGCTGGCCTTGCTGCGCCTGGCAGGCCCCGGGGAGGAGGCGGCAGCCGGCCGGGCTCTGAGCCAGGCCCTCTCCCAGCCAGGACTGGGAGCACCAGCGGAGCTCAAGTTCAAGGGCCTTGTGCTGCTCGGCCGCCACGTGCTCTGCGCCCTCCCCTCCCCAACGCTGGAGAGGACGGCCCGGAGGCTGAGCCGGAGGCTGGAGGCCGCGGGGCTGCGAGTGCTCCAGCCCCCCGAGGGGCTGCGCCCCCACCTCACGCTGGCCAAGGTGCCCCACGGCTGCCCAGTCCAACTGCCCGAGTCAGGGTTCAGCCTGAGGCGAGAGCTGGGGAGCCAGCCAGTGGGGGCACTCTGGCTGTGCCGTGTGGGGAGGGCCGGAGATAGCTATCAGGCCCTGGCAGAGGTCCCCCTGAGGTGACAGTCCCAGACCCACTGCGAGGGTGAGACAAACTGGACCTCAACTCCGTGAGCAACCAGGGCCCGGATGCAGAGGCCGAGCAGGAAGACGGGGTCCGCGCACTCTCTCTCCTTTTTAATTTTGGTTTCTCTCAAGCTTCCAAAAGGTGCTCAGCGCTCCGAGGAAAGATGCAGGAAGGAAGGGGGAGAGGGGAAGGGGAGGCAAAGAGGAAGACCATCTGGAAAGGAAGCAGCCCGACAGTCCAGCTGTTTGTAAACTCCGAGCGTCATCCGTTACATGGTGGGAGGGGAGGGGTGAAAGAAAAGGGGAAGGAGGAGGAAAATAACTGAAATAAAACAGACACGAAAAGAAGAGAAGGAAGATGGCGGAGCTGGTGATCCACGGGGGGCGGCTTTACCTGTGCTGAGCCCGGGGGAGGACAGGGAGGAGGGCAGGAAAAGGGGGAAAAAAAACCAGAAGAAACATTGGGGGCAGAGGGAGGAGGGAACACGAAGACAACTTAATACAACTTGAGACGAGGCAGGCCCGGCCGGCGACGTCCCGCGGTGGCCTCCAGGGTCCTCAGTGCAGTGTGGCGGCGGTGGTGCTGCTGGTGGCAGTGGCGGCGGCGTTTCTGGGGAGGGGGCCAAGGGCACAGTCTACACGGCTCCCCTCACCTCTCAACACTGAGGCCCCGAAGGGCTGGACAACAAGAGTCTGTGAGGAGGTGGACGAGGCGGCCGGCGGCGGGCAGGTTGGCGGGTGGCCCGCCGCCAGCAGGCGGGCACGGCTGGACGGCCTGTCTTCCTTCGGCCGGCCCCGCTGGCGTGGGACGCGCCAGGCCGGGTACCGGAGTGCGAGCTCGAGAAAGAGAGAGAGAGAACACTGAGACAGCATTAGTGGAGGGCAAGGCAGACACGGCTGAGCCCAGCCCGCCCCCCAGCCCAGCCCGCCGCCTCCCCTCTCCACCCCCCAGCCCCGAGGCAAAAATAAAAACGTAGAAAAATCTCTGTACAGACGGTCCGTGGGACCAGTGCGGGGACCCGGTGCTGCCTGGAGCACGCGCCCCGCCAGTTAGTAAAGAACCGAGTCCGTGGTCAAGAGCACACCGCGAGCGCCAGGCCCGCCCGCCCGCCCGCCCGCCCGTCCTCCGCGTGCTCAGAAGGCTGACAGCTGCGCCGCGCTCAGGCGGCAGTCGATGCTGGCGTTGTCCGGGCCCGAGTAGGCCAGGCCCAGGGCCTCTAGGAAGGCCCGGCAGGCGGCCTCGCCCTCGAAGGCCAGCTCGGCCTGCAGGTAGGAGACGGGCAGCACAGGGCGGAAGCTACGGAGACAAGAGGAGAGCGCGATGAGGGGGGCAGCGGGCAGGGGAGGGCCACGGCAGGGCGGGACGCCTCCTGTCTGGGCCCCCCGGGAGCCTCCTCGCACAATCCTTGCCAATTCCCCCACCCCTGCCAGCCTCCCACCTCAGGGGCTTGGGGGGGCCCGGGGCGGGGCTGGGAGCCCCAATCCCCAGGTGTGCCCCCCCTCGCCCCCACTTACCTGTGCAAGGGGACCAGGAGGGGACAGGAAGAGGGGCACAGCTGGCTCTCCGATGGCCTGAGCAGCCACTGAGGAGAGGGCCGCAGGGGCGCAGGGGCAGGGGCGGACGAGGCAGCGTCGGGCGGCTCAGGGCGGCACAGCTAGGCGCCACCCCAGGGCCCGGCCTGCGCAGCGAGGGCCTCCTACTGCTCCCCAGTGTTTCAGGGGTACGAGCCCATTCAGAGCTCCTACTCGTGGAGCGCGTGCCAGCGAGGAGCCACTCAAGTGCCTCATGGCAAGTCCCTGGGGCCTCCCCTAGGGTGTCACCCTGCCTGTCTCCAAGGCACAGTCACTCAGCTAGGGGCCCTCAGGGAGGCAGGGCGGCCCCCATCCCAGCCCTTCTCCCGCTCGCTGCAGGACAGGAGGCAGCCTGGCTGTACCTCCAAGCCCGTCTGCCCAGAGGCCCATCACATACGGTGACAGGACACACCCAGTAACCCAGCCACATGCCCTGAACTGGGGCAGCTGCTGGTGCCGGGCTGACCAGGCCTCGGAGGGCAGACTGCAGGAAGGCCAAGGGACACTGGGACAGCCCTTAAAGGCCCACGTCTCCAGGCTGCATGGTGGCTGTCTCCCTCCTCACTCCCCACGTCCACTGTGACCATGTCCGCTCTCTCACCTGGCACAGCCTGTCCCCAGAGCCCAGACTAGACCCTCGGGCGAGCTGCCCGGCCTCTGCAAGCTGACCACCATCCTACAGCTCCCTGCACCTTTCCAGGAAGGGCCAATCAGACCGGCCGCCTCAGGCCTACCAGACGCAAGGTCTCTGGGCCTCTACATGACTGACGGGAAGCCAGGCACTTCGGGGAGCGGGCCTGTCCTGTGCGTTGCAGGGGGCTTAGCAGCACCCCTGGCCTCTGCCCACTGGATGCCAGTAACACCCTCCCAGTTGTAACCACCCAAACCGTCCAAGACACCACCTCACATTCCTGGGCACAGGTCAATCCTGGTGAGGATGCTGGTCTACCAGAGCCTGGCACCTCTGCCCTGACACTAGTGACGTGCTCAGCGTGAGGGTGGCGGGCCCAGCCTCGCAGACGGCCTCCCAGCCCTCTCCCACCCCGTCTGGCCTGCCCCACCATGACCGGTTCTCTCTACCCACACGTGCCAAGCCAGAGGAACAGATGTAGGGAGTGGGGCCCTGTCCCACTAGACCGGAGTAGCCAAGAACAGGGACCCCCTTTCCAGTGTCTCTATGGCATGGGGGACAGTGACAGAGATAGCAACAACTGGATGGTAGTCAGAGAGCACTAAGGGCCCTAAGGAGAGAAAGAACCAGTGCCCAGCCTAACGTGAGCAGAAGGACAGACTGGAGAGGAGGGGAGAGAGGCTGGGAGGGCGAGGAGAGACTGCAGGGGAGGGTGGCTGCGCAGACGCTGAAGACAGTCAGACGCAGAGCGGACTGGGCAGAGCGCGCAGAGAACAGGGCCGAGTGGTGGGGGCAGGAATGAGGGTGAGGAGAGGCGGGGGGCGGAAGAGAAGCCCGGAGGCTGGGGGCAGAGCGCAGGGGAGAGGAGGGAGGGCAGCAGGGCCAGCAGCGCGCCCGGCGTCACATACGTTTTGATCATTGCCTTGAGGGCGGCCTTGCGCTCCCGATCCGCGAACTTGTCCACGAGGTAGCCGGACATGCAGGGCGCGCGGCAGTAGAGCCGGAAGAACCGGTGGTAGTTGCCCAGAGCCCAGGCCGCCCTCAGCGCCAGGGCATGTGCCACGCAAGGGTCTGCCTTCAGCTCCCGTGTCAGGTACGCCAGCTCTGTGGTGATGTCTGGGGGCCCAGGCAGGAGGATGGTGAGGAGGGCTGCAGCCTGGAGCGAGGCGCGCCCACCAGCCCAGCGCCCGGCCTCTCACCTCCCGAGTTCTTGGTGAAGATGTAGTAGAGGATGCGGTAGGCAGTGAACTCGCCCACGTTGCCCGGCAGATTCTCTGCATAGAGCGACTTGAGCTGCGTCTGGCACTGGTTGAACTCTTCGTGGTCCCCCTGGAGGACGGGGCCAAGGACAGAGTGAGGCCTCAGAAGTCGGAGAGTGGGGGTCGCACGGGTCAGGAGCAGCTGCCTCACCTTCTCCAGGGCGATTCGGGCGTGCGTCTCATACACCTCCACCGTGAACTCAGTGCGGATGCCCTGGACCTGGGCGGGGAGACAGGAGTTGGGCCGGGGCCAGGGCCGCGGCCAGGACGGGCGGCAGGGCCGGGAGGGGTGGGCCGAGGCAAGGGTAGAGGAGCCGAGCAGAGTGCCCCCACAGCGCCTCACCGTCAGATCCTGCCGGATGGACTTCAGCTGCTCACAGGCGAAGGCGTAATCTTGCTTCTCCCTCCAGTGGGACTTGACCATGGCCAGCGACTTCTGTAACACCTGCCCAGAGTCGGAGCATGGCTCAGCATGTGGCTTAGGCCCCGTCACATTCTCACCAAGCCAGGGCGGTTGACCCGAGAACAGCAACACCAGACCTGCGTCTGTGACCCTCTACTGACGTTAAGAAGAGACCGGCCGCCGGGGAAAATAAACCTACGTGGTTGTGTGCGCTCAGGCATGGAGCGTCAACTACATGCGATGTGGGCGGGTACAGGCCTGCCCTCACGAGCAAAGAGACAACAAGGCTGAGGCCACATGACTTCAAACAAGCCTGCAGTTCCTGCTCTGGAAGCCAGGCCCTCCCACCTCACCCCTCCTGTGCGGCTCTGCATTCGCCTGCCCCCTCCCAACAGGTGTCCGGCACGCACCTCCCCTGGGGGCACTTACAGCCACGGGGCGCACGGTGGAGGGGTCGGGGGCGCAGGTGAGCCGCAGGTAGTGCTTGGTGATGTCAGGGCAGGTGCCCACGATCTGCAGCTCCTGCCAGTCGGGGTCGGCCCCACCGGCCTCCAGGCTGCCCATGTGCAGCACCAGGGGCTCCAGGCGCAGGCGGCGGGCGTGGCCGTGCTGGAAACGCGCCGCCCGCTTCTGCTTCTTCAACTCACGCTCGGGGTCCTCACACTCCAGGGCCGCCAGCTTCTTGCGGCTGCGCTTGGTGGTGGCCAGGTCGTGCCTGGGGGGGAGCGAGGGGAGTGTTTACCGGCCTCGGCTTCCTTCTGCCCCCAGCCTCGGCCACTGGGGAATGGTCGCCCCTCCCTGTCGCTCCAGTCCCCACGAGGACGAAGCCCCTCCTCCTGCAGGACTCGCCTGCCACCTTCCCTCTGGACCCTGGCCCTGGGCCCTAGGCCTCCTTCCTTCCTCAGTCCCGGGCCCCCAACCCTTTCCCCTCCTCTCCCGGCCGTCACACCCTCAGGCCCTCGTCCCCAAGAGTCCCCACGCCAACCTCACCTCTTTCCCCGCTGCGCCCTGCCTCGGCCCCGATCCATGTGGGCCCCCCGGCCCCCCCGGCCCTTGGGAGGCGGGTGCCTGCGACCCACAGGGTGACCTTCGTTCCCAGAGCAGGAGCTGTCGGAATCTGAGTGAGAGTCGCTGTGCGGAGACAGGAGGACGGTCAGGCCTGGCCTGGGCACCCAGCCACCCGGCCCTGCCCTGCGAGCGCGTACCTGCGGCGGAAGTGGCGGGTAGGCGAGCGGGAGGAGGAGCGGGAGCGCGAGTCCGTGCTGGAGGAGGAGCTGTGGTCCTTCATGAACACGTTGCGGTTGCCGAACTTGGCGAAGCTGCCGCCCCGGGCTCGGCCGGCGCCCCCCGCCCCCGGTGTCCCGCGCTGTGACTGCGCGCCCCCACCCCTGGTAGCAGAGCCTGCCCCCCGGGGGGGATGAAGGCTGCCAGGGGCCTCCCACCGCTTCTTCTTGGGGCTTTCCGCCACTGGCTCCCGGGTCAGCCTGAGGAAACAGCAGGGTAGGGCGTCCCCAAGCTTGCTCCGGGCCCACAGGAGGAGGGCAGGCCCCGGCCGGGACAGGCTCACATACGAAAGCACCCGCCAGGTGGCCTGGCTTGTCCACTGCTGGAACCGTAGCTGTTCCCACAGGGTGTTCCCAGCCACCCGAGACCAGCAGCCCTGTCCCGCCCCCCGGCGCCCGCCGCACCCCGGCAGAGGCTCGCGGCTCCAGTCGATGGTGTAGGCCGAGCCGTCCTGCAGCCGCGCCTGCAGCAGCTCCTTGAGCAGCTTCTCCGTGCGGTCCTTGTCCTCCTCCGACTCGCAGGCCGTGAAGCAGCGCTCCACGTACTCCTTCATGTCCTGGGGCCAGTCGTCAGGCCTCCCGGACAGGCTTCCCCGAGACGAGGGCCCACTGTGGAGAGAGGCGCCCGCAGCCTGCCGTGACCCCAGGGGCCGGCTCTCTCCCGCTCCGTGCGCCCAGCAGCCCCCCGGGAGGGCACGCGGTCACCCAGCGCAGGGGCGCAGCGGCACCTGTGGTTTTGGGCCTTCTCCACGGCGGCCTGGGGACCGAAGCTGCCGTGCTGGCCCTCGGGGCTGGAGCTGAAGTTCTGGGTGGTGACAGCGAAGGGCCTTTTCTGGATGTTGAACTTGAGGCCCCCAGTGCCTGGGGCGGCTGTGGGGGTGGCACGCGCTGGCGTCAGGCCTTTCCCCAGCACCCGAGGTTCCCACCCCCAGAGGACGCCGGAAGGGAAGCCTCGGGGCGGGCGGGCGGGCAGGGTCCCGGGCAGCAGAGCGAGCGCCCGAGTTCCAGGGCGGCCTCCCACCACCGCGCCGAGCCCCAGGGCCAGCCCACTTACGCTTCATGCGGCTCCACAGCTGCGGGCCCTTCTTGGGCTTGGCCGGCTCCGAGTAGCCGTGCTGGGCGTAGGCCTGGCCCGCGGGCGCGCCCGCCTGGCCGTGCTGTGTGGCAGGCGCCGTCCCCGGCTGCGGACCGCTGTTCAGAGGACGAGCCCCGTGCTGGGGGTTGGAGGGCTGAGGGGGTGGGGCTGGCAGCTGCTGGGGGGGTGCCTGGTAGGCCATGCTCTCCTCCATGCCGGGGACCGGGGGCTGCAAGAGGAAGCCGGCACTGGGGGGGCGCCCGCGCGCTGTGTGCGGCCCTCGCGGCCCCGTGCCCACACCTGCACACCCTTCACTCCGCTCCCCGCACCCCACAGCCAGAGCCCGTCCGGCAACGTGCTCTCGGGCGGCACTGAGCATGGCCAGGACCCGGGTTCACAGAGTGCGCGACTTCTCACAGCCCCCGCCCCCGAGAGGCAGCTGCCAGCTCTGACTGGGACACTGGAGCCTGAGTGTGACCCACTCAGGAAGAGCTCAGCAGGCAGACAGTGCCGCCGTCCCCGGGCAGTGACCTGTGAGCTGGGAAGGGAACAACGCCAAGGCACTCGGGTCGGACACAGTGAGGAACGCCCTACAAGTGTTACCAGCGGCTCCGTCTTGAAGCTGAGAGGTCAGGTGACACGAAAGCCCAGGTCTACCCATAGGCTGCACTTGAAGCACAAGGCCAGGCTGTGTGTGCACACGTGTGTGCACATGTGGCACGCCTGAGTGTGTGTGCGTGTGCACCCACACACGTGGGAAAGTAGAGAAGCCGACAGACATCACTCCCAGGGTGTCCACCCCCGTCAGCTGTGTGCACGCGCGTGCGTGTGTGCATACCCCGCGTGCATGTGCATCCGGGGCAGAGCAGACACAGCAGCACACAGCCCTCCCAGAGTCTCCCTGCCACCTGCAGCCCGGCCTCATCCGAGCCCTAACCAAACTGCTATCAAACGTCATGGTTTCAAACTCTCGTCCTCGCTGTCACGGCGCGAGCAGAGAGTCTTTTGGGCGGCGCGGACAAGGCCCTGGGAGCGGGCGCGCTCGGCAGCAGAGCCCGTTACCTGGTTCAGCGGGCCCTGGTGCTGGGGCGCCGACGGCTGCTGCGGTGTGGCGGAGCCGTAGGAGGCCATGCCGTACTGGGAGGGCGAGCCGTAGCCCTGGTACACGCTCTGCCGGAGGGACGGGAGGGAGGTGTCAAAGGCCCGGCCCCCGCCCACACCCACAGCCCCTCGCTGCAGGAACAGCCCAGCGGCCCGGGCCCCGCGTAGGCCACTCCGGCCCCGAGTCCCTCGGCATCCGCGGGGAGAGCACCACCAGCAACCATCTCACTCCTGCTGGTCCGCAGAAAACTCTCCCCACTAAACAGATGTTTACTGAGGGCCAACTCTTCTAAACACTAAGACAGACCGAAAGTAAAGGCGAAAACCACGTGTCCTACAAAGTCCGCAGTGTTAAAAGCAGCACCCCCAGTAGGAACAGCCCCAGTAGGAACAGCCCCAGCTAAACACTCCGCAGACACAGCTCGGAGACGCCACAGGTCGGCTCCAGGCCGCGCACTGAGGCAAACACTGCCATCAAGCAAGTCGCACGGTTTCCGGCGCCCGGTGCGCGTAAGGGAAGCTGACTCTCTGCTACTGCCTGCTCAACGTACAAGGTCATGGTGAAAAAGTTCTAAATACTGTGACCAACCTAACGGGACACCGAGACAGGAAGCAAGCCTGGGCTGCTGGAAAAAGGGTGCTGATAGACTCGCTTGCCACAGGCCTTCAGTGTGTGGAAAATGCAGTATCCACACAGCGCAGTAAAAGGAAACACACAGTAAGATAACGGACTCCCGTGAAAGGAAACGAGGGGAGGGCGGGGGGGGACGGTGGGACCTGGTGGAGGGAGCTCCTGTAAGCCAGCACGTGGGCAGGCGCCCTGAGGGCACAGAGGTGAAGCGGGGCGGTGTCCACAAGCGCAGTGTGGACGGCTGAGCGCTGCTGCCATCAAGGGCTTGGTGGTGACGACAGAGGGAGCCCGGGGAGAGGGGGCAGCAGGGAGCCAGATCGTGGGGGACCCTGTGGGCCACGGGGGGGCCCCTGGGATTTATCATGAGGGCGGTGAGTTGGCAGAGGGTTCATGAAAGCGGAGTGACTGAAGAGATGGTGTAGGCACCTCCAATCCATCAACCACCTGATCCCTCAAGGCCAATCTGACCTCCACCCCCTAGCCTGGCACTCACCAT